CCCCTGTCCCTGCTGACCCCTGTCCCTGTCCCTGCTGACCCCTGTCCCTGTCCCTGCTGACCCCTGTCCCTGCTGACCCCTGTCCCTGTCCCTGCTGACCCCTGACCCTGCTGTCCCCTGTCCCTGCTGTCCCTGACCCCTGACCCCTGACCCGCAGGCGGGTGGCTCTGACCAGGAGCGCTCCAAGAAGCGCCGTCGCGGTGACCGTTACTCGGTGCACACCTCGCTCATCGTGGCCACCCTGAAGAAGATGCTGCCCATCGGCCTCAACATGTGCTCACCTGCCGACCAGGAGCTGATCGCACTGGCCAAGGGACGCTACGCCCTGGTGAGCCATGGGGACACCTGGGGACACCTGGGGACACCTGGGGACAGCTGGGGACACCTGGGGATACCTGGGGACACCTGGGGACACATCTGGGGACACCTGGGGATACCTGGGGATACCTGGGGACACATCTGGGGACACCTGGGGATACCTGGGGACACCTGGGGACACATCTGGGGACACCTGGGGATACCTGGGGACAGCTGGGGATAACTGGGGACAGCTGGGGACACCTGGGGATACCTGGGGACAGCTGGGGATACCTGGGGATACCTGGGGACAGCTGGGGATACCTGGGGACAGCTGGGGATACCTGGGGACACCTGGGGACACACCTGGGGACACCTGGGGATACCTGGGGACACACCTGGGGACAGCTGGGGACACTTGGGGATATAGCCATCACACCTGGGGACACACCTGGGGACACAGTCATCACACCTGGGGATACCTGGGGACACCTGGGGACACACCTGGGGACAGCTGAGGACACTGGGGACATCGGGAGACAACTGGGGACACCTGGGGGCATACCTGGGGACACTGGGGCACACCTGGGGACACTGGGGACACACCTGGGGACACCTGGGAATACCTGGGGACAGCTGGGGACACTGGGGGACACACCTGGGGACACCTGGGGACACCTGGGGGACACCTGGGGGACACCTGCCGTGGGTGTGGGGCCCTGAGGTGTCCCCTGTGTCCCCCCCCTGCAGAAGGACACGG